AAAAAATTGGTTATTTTATTTATTTACATTTCAAATGTTATCCCCAGTTTCTTTCCCTTCAGTTTCAATAGATAGGTATCCATTCTTGGGCTACCGAGACATTCTGTATGTGGGTAGGCTAGGTCCCAGATTGATTGTATCTGAGAAAGCGTCCTATCTGTCCTGTGCCCTTGTTTATCTCTGTGCTCTGAATGTCTAGCATGTTAACTGACCTTCCGCACCTGATTAAATAGGTTGTTTAAATGAAGTTCAAAGCACACATGGGAGGCATTTCTGCAGCCCACTGTGGGTTTCAGGATACTGCTGTGGTATACTTTGGCAAGTGTCAGTCTCTCCTTAGCCACGCTCACTGTAGGAAAAGGTGGTGTGAAGATTATGTAGAAATAATGGGGCGGCTGCAGTCTAAGTATGCTGTTGAATAGGTGAACTTCATACAGGAGGGCGCAGAAACATCTGACTACCTTTGTTCTGGGTCTAGTCTGCTAGTTTCCTTATTGTGTGAGTTCATCCCTTAGTACCCGTCATGGAGCGGCCTCCTGGTTTGTTTTGATGCCTGTCTTCCAAGGAGCACTCCACACTTTGCCATTCTTCTTGGCAATCTTATGAATAAACAACCCCTGAAACCAATGGATTTTTCCAGCAAACTTTGGGAGAGAAGAGTTACTGAGCCTAGAAATTAAACTTTCACTTTAGGTTTTACATATTAGCCAAAGTCTACTAGATTGGATTTTGTTCAATTAGCATGGAGATTAGATAAGGGTGTGTGTGAGTTTTACACATCGTAATGTGGGCCTAAGAGTAATACCCTTGACTTTGGCAGTGATAGTCTCAGCAATCATACACAAACCATGCCTTCACATTTTTAAAATATGTGATTTTAAAAAAAGATCAGAACTGAGAGATCATGTTTTTAAATTGTTCTCCATCTACACATGGCCTTTCCCTGTTTATACCTATCATTTCTTGGTCTTTACACTTCTATACTTAGCAACTTACTCAACTAGTACATGCTTATTATTATATTGATTTGTGCACATGCCTGTGTGTGTATGTGTGTGTGTGTAAGTCAGAGGACAAATAGTATTCTAAGATGTTTGCATTTTTAGATATGTCTATTGGTACAATTTTTATTGGAATAATAAGCTATTATACTTTATAAACGGTTCCTTATTTCTGTTTAAATAGTTTTCTTTCCCTTGGCAATACTAACATTTGGACTGGATAATGTCTTGTCTACAACCTTTGGGAATCAGTTCTTTCTTAACCATGTAGGTGCTGAGAATTAAACTCAAGTCTGCAGTCTTGCTTTATCAGCTGAGTCATCTTGCTAGCCTCCAAAATGTAGTATTTGGTATGCTTAAAACTTGATTTTAAGCATCTCAACTGGTGGTAATTTTGTCCCCTAGTTGGTTGTCATAGCTGAAAGAAAGTGCAAGGACACTCATGGCCCAGTATCCTACAAGGCATGGAATATCTCAGTAAAATGTGTCAGTCATGATCCCACTCACTCCAGCACGGGGGGCACGTGGGCACAAGCACACAAAGTAAATAAGTGGAAACATTGTAACTCCTAGATTTTGTCTAGAAGGTGTATTCAGGCATGTGCCACCATGTCTGGTGTCTAATACATCTGAAGTCCAAGGACGGAATGAAGAAAAGCTTATTCAAAGTGGAATTTCAGGTTCAAGTGAGTCATTTGGACTGCTTCAAAGCAGAAGGAAGACATGCATGGGTAATCTCTATGATGCACCTTTACTCAACGTGGAAGAAAAATGAACCACTACCATCGTTTCAGTAAAGCTAAGGAAAGAGGTAGCAGTAAGTGCGTTTCCTGTCATTTTTCTTGCCTTTTTGTTGTTGTAAAGCTGTTCACTCTTATGATAGAGTTAAGGATGGTCTAGCACTCCTGATTGTCCTGCTTTCATCTACCAAGGCTAGCCTTGCAGGACTGTATAACATGCCTGACTTAAAGAACAAACAGAAACAAACAAAACCACACGGTTTGCAGTGTTGCTTAATGAAACGTTTGTTTTATATTATTATCCCATATTTATCAATATTTTTGTAGTATTTAAACATCATTTTAAGCCCTGTTCTTCATCCCTCATTGTAGTTATAAGATTGAGCAGGTGGCTTCTCCTCCCCTCCCCCATTCAAACCCCTTCTCCTTCCTTCCTTCCTTCCTTCCTTCCTTCCTTCCTTCCTTCCTTCCTTTCTTTCTTTCTTTCTTCCTTTCTTTCTTTTTAAGATTTATTATTTAAAACAGTGTACACTGTCGCTGTCTTCAGACACACCAGAAGAGGGCATCGAATCCCATTACAGATGGCTGTGAGCCACCGTGTGGTTGCTGGGGATTGAACTCTGGAAGAGCAGTCAGTGCTCTTAACCACTGAGCCATCACTCCAGTACCCCCCCACCTCCCCCCCCCCCAAAAAAAAAAGAGTTCCACTCTCTGGTGACTAAGGGTCCACATATGTGAGCCTGTGACGGCGATAGTGCTTTGAGAATGGCTTCCATAAGCTCGTAAGTTTGAATGTTTGGTCATCAGGGAGTGAAACTTCTTGGAAAGGCTTGGGAGGTATGAGCTTGTTGGAAGGGGTGTGTCACTAAGGGTGCACTCTGAAGTTTCAAAAGTCTAAGCCAGGCCCAGTATGTCTCTCTCTTCCTGCTGCCTTCAGATCCAGATGTAGAACTTTCAGCTCCTTCCGCAGCACCATGTCTGCCTACATGCTGCCACCCCACCCACCATGATGATAATGAACTAAACCTTTGAAACCAAGCCCCAATTAAATGCTTTCTTTTATAAGGGTAAAGAGTTGCCATGGTCACGGTGTCTCTTCTCAGCAATTGAACAGTGACTAGGGATGAGCCACTCTAATCAAACCACTGCAAGTACAGTGTCTGTCTTACTGGGGGATAGTTTAGAAGTAGCAAGAAGTTCCACCACCTAGTGACTCATCATGGCTGTTATCCACACTGTGGTGTTACATCTATAATACTAAGAGGGCTTGGAGAGATGGGGCAGGAGGTAAAGTACTTGCCACAGAAGCATAGGGACCTGAGTTTGAATCCCCAGCACCCATGTAAAAAGCCAAGCTTGTGCATATGTCACCTCAGTGCTGGGTGGGGAGGAGATAGGTAGGTAGATCTGAGCTTGATGGCAAGCCAGTATAGACAACTTAAGTTCCAGGTTCAGTGTGAGAACCTGTCTTCAGAAATAGGGTAGAGAGCAATAGAGAATCCTGATGTTGACCTCTGCCCCGCATGCCTGGCCCCCACCAACGTCCATACCTGCCTGGACCACATAGTGAGACCATGTCTAAAAAACGAAACAAAGTCAGGGCCAGGAATACATCACAGTGGTAGAGTCCTTGCCTAGCATGGGCAAAGACTTGGATTCAGATCCCAGCCCTGCAAAACAAACAAAACCCAATTTCCCCAACCCAGAGGTGGGAGGAGACCAAAAGATATGGAAGAAGTCTACCACCCTGGAACAGTCTGAAGCTATTACTGTGACTAGAACATTCTCTCGTCTGTTTCCATCTGGGCACTCTGCCCTCTGAGCACTCAAGTACTCATTGACACAGGCTCATGGTCAAGATGCTAGCACTCAAGTCTGAGGCTTACCCTAGGCATGGGGTCCAGGAGATGTGAGATCTAACTTCTGAAAACAATAGCTACTTTTGTATTTTATTAATTGGCTAAATTTTGTAAGTAGTTTCTGCCTTGAATATGGAGAAAAATACACTCCAAGATTTATGATTAATTTCAGTATGATTTAAGAGGAAAAAGCAGCATCTACCTGAGGGGTTCAGGTAACAGCCGTGTGATGGAGCTGTTATTTATGGGTGACACAAGATAACCCCAGAGGGTCCCCTTTATATCTAGAAATTAAGAGAATATATCACAGCATAGTCCCTACAGACCCAGCCTGAGGAAAATCATACCCTTGATCCCAGTGCCACTCTTTTCCCTACTCCCCTGTCCCTCTTTGTGTGTGTGTGTGTGTGTGCATGTGTGTGTGGCTATGTACACGTGCCTGCTAGGAATAGACCTTCAGTGTCTTCTTTGGTTGCTCTTCACCTTAACAAATTTTATATTATATTTATTTATTTATTTATTTACTATTTAGCATCTGTGCACCACAGCTTGTGTGTGAAAGTTGGAGGACGGGTTCTTCCACTTGGAGACTGGAGGTCAAACGTCAGGCATGGTAACAATCGCTTTACCCACTGAGCTATCTTGCCAGCCTCCCCCTTGTTTTTTGAGACAGTCTTTCACTGAACCTGGAGCTCACCAGTTTGGCTAAGCTGGCTTGGCAGCAAGTTCCAGGGGTCTTCCTCTCCAGCAGCCACCCTCAGCACCCAGCCCTGAGAGAGACACACACTAGCCTGCCACTGTACCTGCTTTTTCTGTGGTGAGCTCAGGTCAGTGCATCAAGCGCTTCACTGACAGCTCCCTCCCCAGCCTCTCAACCATGTATGTTTTTGTGTTTTAATTTTACAAAGTACTTTGCAAAATCTTATTTTCTGACATTTTAGGAACATGTTTAAAAGGAGCTGACATTTTCCGCATGACTCAGATCTACATGCTGTACTTAGACATATTATTCAAATTAAACCACTCAGTTATAGAAAGAAAGCATAGAGATTAAAATCTGTTACTTGTCAGGGAGCAAGTTGAAATAGATAAGGAACTCAAGGAGGAAAGCAAATTCAGTCTCTTTAGTGTAAGACTTGTTACCTCCGTTCTCATTCTTCTCCTCAATAAAAAACAAAACAAAACACCTAAGTAGGGCTGGAGAGATGACTCAATGGTTGAAAGCACCAGCTGCTCTTCCAGAAGTCCTGAGTTCAATTCCCAGCAACCACATGGTGGCTCACAACCATCTACAATGTGATCTGATGCCTTCTGGCATGAGGTGTACATGCAGATAAAGTACTTATATACATAAAATAAATAAATCTTTAAAAATTCTAATTAATATGCATTCTATATAGGATGGATGGAACTCAAGAAGTGTTATCATGTGATGACTCCATCTGTCAGAATGGTAAGCTGTTCTTGTTTACTTAGACTATCTCAGACCAAATACAAAGTGTCCCTGCAAACTAATTATAAAGTACTCTATTTCTCTAGCTAGATTGCAGGAAACATATTTAAAGGAGCCATTTATCAGTCTCTCTGTAAACTTACATTAAGTGCTGGTCATCGAGCTTAGAAATCTAATTTAAGACAGGCAGTGGTGGCGCATGCCTTTAATCCCAGCACTTGGGAGGCAGAAGCAGGCAGATTTCTGAGTTCGAGGCCAGCCTGGTCTACAGAGTGAGTTCCAGGACAGCCAGGGCTACACAGAGAAACCCTGTCTCAAAAAACCAAAAAAAAAAAAAAAAAAAAAAGAAAGAAAGAAAGAAATCTAATTTTACTTCAAAATACAATACTACATTCTGATATTTTAACTGCAAACAAGTAATCATTTCATAATTCCATTGTGAATTTTTTTTTTTTTTTTACTTCTGATTGTTTTTTTTAAGACAGGGTTTTTTCTCTGTAGCTTTGGCTGTCTGGAACTCACTCTGTAGACCACACTGCCTTTGAACTCAGAGATCTGTACCTTTGCCTCCTGAGTGCTGGGATTAAAGGCATGTGCCATCACCTGGCTTTTACTTTTTACTTCATAATTTGATGAGTTTTAAAGAACTAGCTCTATAGGTGGTTTTCGAAATTTTCTATTTAATTCTGTGTATGTACACATGTGCCACCTATGGAGGTCAGAAGACAGTCTGTAGGGTCAATTCTGGCTTTCCATCACGTGGGCCTTGGGAATTGAACTCATATTGTCAGGCTTGGCCACAAGGGTCTTTACCCACTGACTGATCTTGTCAGCCTGGGGTGGGGTTTTTCTTTTCTTTTTGAAAAAGTTTTATTTTGCATGTATAAGTGTTTTGTGTGCATGTATGTCTGTGTACTGTGTGCCTCAGAGGTCAGAAGAGGTGCCAGGTCCCCTTGAAACTGCTATGTGTAGAACCAGCTAGAAGTAGAACCCTATTGCAAGGGCTGCCATTGCTTTTAACCACTGAGCCATGGCTCAGGCCCAGGGTTTCTTCTTACTTAATGCTTTAAGTGAAGGTTTTCCAACTATTTGCACATTCAGACCCAGCTACAGCATGATAGAATTTATGGATATGTGTGCTGGAAGTGGTCAGTCCAAGGTCTGGCTTCTAGAGCAGAAAGAAATTCTAGTGCTCTTGGTAGGAGGATTTGTTGTGACTACCTCCTAGCTGGACCAAACCTGTGTTAAAGTGGTCTACTTTGACAGACAGTTCTCACCAAGTTTAAAATTGTCAACACCCCCATCCCCCCACCCAGAAATCTGGGCTGGAGAGACAGCTCAATTAAAAGTGTATAGTTCGCCTTTAATCCTAGCACTTGGGAGGCAGAGGCAGGCGGATTTCTGAGTTCAAGGCCAGCCTGGTCTACCCAGTGAGTTCCAGGACAGCCAGGGCTACACAGAGAAACCCTGTCTCGAAAAACAAAAACAAACAAACAAAAAAAACCAAACAACAATAACAACAACAAAAAAGTGTATACTTTGGGACAGGCAGTGGTGGTTCATACCTTTAAACCCAGCACTCAGGAAGCAGAGGCACATGATTCTCTGAGAAGATCTAGCCTTGTCTACAAATCGAGTTCTAGGAAAGCCAGGAACACAGAGAAGCCATGTCTTGAAAAACAAAGACAAAACACACAGAATACCAACCAGTTTTGCCAAAGACCCAAGTTCGGTTCCCAGTGTAATCACGGTAACTCCAGCTCCAGGGATCCGGTGGTTTCGGCCTCTGAGGGCATCTGCACTTTTATGTATCTCCTCCCATAAACATAACGGAAATAGTAAAACTAGATCTTTAAACATTTATTTGGGGGCTGGAGAGATGGCTCAGCAGCACTGACTGTTCTTCCAGGTCCTGAGTTCAATTCCCAGCAACACATGGCGGCTCACAGCCATGTGTAATGGGACCCAATGCCCTCTTCCAGTGTGTCTGAAGTCAGTGACGGTGTACTTACATTCAATCAATCAGTCAATCAATCAATCAATCAATCAATCAATTTTTTTTAAAAAAGTTATTTGGAGCAATAATACAGTTGGTTCTCTGTTTCTTTTAAGGGGTTTAGGTTTATCCATTCTGTAATGAGCCTAGAGTTCCTAAAACCTTACCTAAACTAATACATCCTTCACTGAGGTGTCTGGTGTGTGGGGAGGCCGGAGTTATAGGAAGTTGTGAGCCATGAGACACAGGTAACTCAACTCAGGTCATCTGGAGGAGCAGCAAGTGCTCTAACTGCTGAGTCGCCCCCACCCGGAGCACAGATTCTTAAATGTACCAGCAGAGTGAAACCCTGAGGGTTGTTCTCCTTTTAATAGGGGTATTGTGGAGGAGACCAGCTTGCATTGTAGTACCCTCAGAACTAATTAACTTACTAATTTCTCTCTTTTGAAGACAGGATTTTACTTTTATTTTTCTTTTTAAAACCCTAATCTTTTACAAATAAAAATAAAAATCCCCAACAAATCACATTACTCCACACCAGGTCTAAAATGAGAGTTTTATTTTTTTTACTCACATGATTTCTTTCTTCCTCTCATTTGAGTTCTCTCAGGTAAGCCTTTATTATGATGGGGAAAGCCAAACCAAACATTTCTCCTCATGCTCAGTAAAAAACAAGAGAAAAGAATCATCGATTAAGTGTAGACAATGCATAATAAAAAATAGGAGGAAAAGAATACATACATTAAGACAGAATTGTATTAAACATTCAGTTTTGAGTTATGAGGTGAATTGCATTCAGTTCTGTACAGTCACAAAAAGACAAGTTGGGTTTTAGACTGTCCTACCACTGACACTCCAAATTGTGCTGGGAGTGTCCCCACATCTTCAGAAACACCAGTATGGAGACTGTCCCTTGGGTTGTGGGGCCTGGGCTCTGCGCTCCAGGGGCAGCCCCAGGTCAGTCTTCCGTGGGAGGTAGGAGTGCTCCTGTGCCTTGCATGGGAACCGAGGGGAAGAACAGGCAGCCCAGGCCCAGTCTTCACTGTGTGGTGATAAGCTTCACAATCATGCTGATAATCCGGGACCCTCTAGGACAGGTACACAGGTCCATGCTTGGGTTTTTAATTTTATCCTGGAGGAGCTGGTCAAGCTCACAGCGCAGTTCCTTCACCAGTTCGGCCACCTGCCACGGGAACTCAGCATTAGTGGTGGGAGGTCTCCATAGCAAGGCACCCCACTATGACTGTCATGGCTTAAGACCTCTGACAGGATTTTACAACACAGTTTCTTTCTTTTCTTTTCTTTTTTTTTTTGGTTTTTCGAGACAGGGTTTCTCTGTGTAGCCCTGACTGTCCTGGAACTCACTCTGTAGACCAGGCTGACCTCAAACTCAGAAATCCGCCTGCCTCTGCCTCCCAAGTGCTGGAATTAAAGGCGTGTGCCACCACTGCCCGGCCTACAACACAGTTTCATTCTAACATACTACTGAGGCCAATTATAAATATATCCATTTAGTGCTTATCTCTATCACGTCTATTTATTATTTATTTAGAGATAAGCTCTTGCTATTCAGTCAGGCTAGTCTGAAACTTCTATCTTCTTGCCTCAGCCTGTGAGTGCTGGAATCACAGCATGTATTGCCAGGTCTCATTATTTTAAGGAGTGTATTATTTAAGTATTTTTAAGTATTTAAGTATTTTCCACAGTATAGCTTGCTGACTGTGTTTGTCTGTGTGTGTGTGTGTTTGCATGTGCCCATACATGGACATGTGCGTGGGAATGTGAATTCAGGCCCTCATGCTCCTACAGAAAGGGCTTTACTGATGTCACCTCTCCAGCCTTGTTGGGCTTTTGAGACAGTCTCACACTGTAGCCCAGACTGGCCTCGAACTCACAGACAGCTTCCCAGCCCCTGTGCCTGCGTGCTGGGATTCCAGGAGTCCAGGTGTAAGTGGAAGCTTTTATTTATTTATTTATTTATTTATTTATTTATTTATTTTAATGTTTGTTAATTTCCTTATTTTACTTTTGAATGAATTGGTGTTTTGTCTGCATATACATCTGTGTGCAGGTGTTGGTTCCCTGGAACTGGAGTTATAGACAGTTGTGAGCTGCCATAGTGGTGGTGGGAACTGAACTCTGGTCCTCTGGAAGAAAAGCCAGTTCTCTTAACCACTGAGCTATTGCTCCAGCCCCAGTGAGAGCTTTTAAAAAACCGTATATTTGCATGTTTTGTTTTATTTGGTATATTTGTGTGTGCATTTGGGCCACAACATGCACGTGAGAGTCAGACAACCTGAGGAAGTTAGTTTTCTCCTCCTACCAAGTAGGTTTGAGCTTGAACTCTGTCAGGATTAGCAGCAAGCATCTCCCTGCTAAGCCATCTCACCAGTCCGTATTCAGGTTTTTGTTTTTAGCTTTCAAGACAAGATCTTACAGAGCTCAGGCTGCCCTCATACTTGCTGTGTAGCCGAAGCTGGGCAAGAACTTCTGATTCATCCTATCCTGGGATTATATGATGCAAAGGTTTTTTTTTTTTTTTAAGTTGGGTTTCACTATGTATCCTAGGATAGCCACAAATTCAAAGTGAACCACCCACCTCAACCTGCAAGTGTTAGATGCTAAGCATATGCCACTACCACACATTAAGAGGGAAGCTTTGATGAAGCCTCTAGGCATGAGGATTTCTCTTCTTTCAGGATGTCATGTTGTACAGTTGTGAAGCCAGGATCTCTGGCAGCCATCTTGCTCACACAAGGAGAGCTAGCCTTTATCATCCAGCTGCTGCACCAAACCAGCCTTGCCTGGCCCCTTGGCTTAGGACCGCTACTGGCCACACGTGGTTATTTAATGAACATATGAAATGTCCCTGGTTCAAACTGAGATGTGCTAAAGAGTGTAAATGCACACTGGACTTTAAAGAATTTTTGTTTGTTTGTTTTTTTGAGACAGGGTTTCTCTGTGTAGCCCTGGCTGTCCTAGAACTCACTCTGTAGACCAGGCCAGCCTCGAACTCAGAAATCTACCTGCCTCTGCCTCCCAAGTGCTGGGATTAAAGGTGTGTGCCACCACCGCCCGGCCTTTAAAGACTTAATATACAAAGAGAAGTAAAATAACTCAGTAGCTTTTTATATTGATTACATATTGAAACTAAAACATGCTGGGTATATTAGGTTAAATAAAATGTATTAGGGGGTTATTTTTTGTTTGTTTGTTTTAAGTACCAGGGATTATATCTAAAGCCTTATGTTGCATGAGCTACCTCTGAAGTATATTTTCATTTTTTTTAAAAGATAAGGTCTTACTAAATTGCCCAAGACTAGGAAGTCTTAAGTATTTGTAGTCTTAAGTATGTGGCTTGAGTGATCCTCTTGCCTTAGTTTCCTGGGTGGCTGGGACTACTGATATATATAGTTCGTTTCTTATTTATTTATTTATTTATTTATTGCTTTATTTTTGTGGTTCTGGAGATTAAACCCAAGGCCTACCAATGAGGTATAATCTGATCACTCTTTTTCTTTCATGATAACGGTAAGATCAGGGTGATTTTTATTGACTTATTTTGCATAGCTGTGTCTCACTAAGGAGGGTCCAGTACCCTCTCTTTGTAGAGTCTACTGTTTGTTTTTATTATTGAAGCAAGGTTTTGCTGTGTAACTCTGGTTGTCCTCAAACTCACAGGGATCATCTCGCCTCAGCCGTCAATCTACTTGAGTCTCTGACTCAACCCTGTGTATCAGTTCTAACCATCCCAGGTGTCCCTACCCTGCCACTATTATTAGGCCCTTCTCTGCTTCATGTTGGTTTCATGCTTCCTGCCCAGTAGTTCTGTTATTCTTGGTCCTGAAAGAATGTTGTTCATTTCATATTCCAGAGCTCTTCACGACCCAAGCCTTTAAACAGATCAGCTGCTCCTTTACCTGATGGGAAGCGGCCACAAACCGGATCCAGCCGTCATCCAAGGAGACAACGAATGCCCCTCTCTGAAGCTGCACATTCACTTGACCTCCCCCGAACAAGACTAGGGGGTACACAGACACCATGCTGCAGTCCCGGATAAACACCCGGCTAGTTTTGATTTTCTCATGGTACAACAGGTAGGGGCTGTCGAAGTGTCTGACCTGTAACACAAAACCTCAGATGACAAGGAGGCTGAGGGCCACATAAGGGGATCCCCACCCATCCCATGGACTTCAGAGCTGCCCCTCCATTAAGGACTCGCAGTAACTTTTCCTCTGTTGTTGCTTGCTGTTGTCATGTGTGACTTCCTAGTACCCATTAGACATCTAAAGCATCTAACGATTTGCAAACCTCTCCTTGGTAGGACTAGGGATGTAGCCCAGTGACAGAACATTTGCATAACATACACAAGGCTCCAGGTTCAACCCCTAATACCACAGAAAACAAATCAGCAACAATTAAAAAAACCCTTTTGGTGGTGTTCAAAAAAAGTTCTCAGAGGTACCTTTTTAAACTATTTACTTGTGTGAGCGGACACATGCTCGTTCGTATTCATGTGCCACTGCATGCATAGAAAGGTCAGAGGACCACTGACAGGATCCAGTTCTCTTCTCTACTGGAGTCCCAGGGACAGACCTCAGGCTTCATGATTTGATATCAAACTGCTTATCTGCTGAGCCATTTCAGTAGCACCCACATTTTTAAATGAACACTAAAGTAACATTGTACATATTTATGGGTCTCTTGTGATGTTATGATACATACATACATACATGATATAATGCTTTAAAATAATTTGTCTGGATTTATCCACTTCATGTGTGTTTTGCCTGCATATATTTGTGTTTATAGAGTCAGAATAAGGCATCGGGTCTCTTGGATTCAGAGCTTTGGACAGTGTGAACCATCATGTAGCTGTTGAGAATTGAATCTGGGTCCTCTGCAAGCTAATACCTAAAAGAAGTCTTGGTTCTTTTTCTTACAGCTCCTCATTTCAGAAAATGGAAGCCCGCTTGTTCAAGCCCCCATGTGTGAAAGCTTAGTTGCTCTATTCTGCTGAGTTCCATGTAGAAGATCAAGTCCTGACAGCTGTGTTTAAAATAGATAGGCTCTGACACAGTCCCAGTCTCATGACTTTCTAGCTACTTTGTTACTACAAACCTTTGCCCTTCACCTTCCTTCCTCTGTGCTCAAGCTGTTGCTGCTTCCACACCTAACAGTATCTTTTCACAGCAGCCACAGTGATCTTTCAGTCATGGCCTAAACACTCCAGTGGTTCTCCAAAGGTTAGAAATCTAAATTCCCTACATGCCCGACCCTGGCCCATGCACAGCTCCCGTCACACTCACCTGGATCAGTAACCCCACCGAACTTTATCATCTGTTGCCTTCTTGCATATCCTGGAACATCCCAAATAAACTCTTACTCCTAGTCTCAGGACTTACTTCCTGTGCTGGAATGTTCTCTCCTTAGAGATCTGTATGGCTTGCTTTTCATTCAGGACTCGCTTGTTTTTAACCATTGAGTTCTTCTCAAATTGTTCTATAGAAAGGGCTCCTCTCTCAGTCTTGCTGACTGCTTAACTTTCTCTCTAGGGCATTTACCACTGACTTATTCCCTGCCTGTCTACACAGCTAGACCTGCTTGAGTGGAAGGGCCCTGATCATTCACTGTCCTTCATGGCCTACAACACAGAGACAGACTAGCAGGACTGCATGGGGCTGCATGAGTGCTGTCTTCCACGTGGCTAACTGAAGGGTGGAGCTAACTTAGGCCTGTGCTCTCTAAAGTCAGAGGCAGTCAAGATGAGTGGATGGCCTCCTGGTCCTCTGAGCTTGAGGAGGCCCTTCCCATGGTTTATCACCACTTTCTTCAATAGTACCATGGGGAGTGGCACTAAGGGAACTCTGTTCTGAGTTGGAAGTGCTAAGGATTGAACACAGGACCTTGCTGTATACCAGGTGAGCACTCTACCACTAAGCCACACCCCCATCCAGGAGATGATTCTTAGTGGAAATGCCAGAGTAAGCACGGGCTTCCTGAGGAATGAGACAATCATTCTGGGTATAGAAGCAGCATGTCTGGTGTCATGGTAATGGGAAACACTGTTGCTGCATGAGCATTGCTGCAGCATACGAGTGACAGAGGAAGTGGGTTTTGAGGGACCGGGGCCAGATGTGAAGGATCAAGTCAGAGTCTTCAATGGACTCCACATATGAAGATTTAAGAAAAGGATCAAGCTAACAGAGCAGTAAAGCAGAAGGCTAGAGAGGATTCCAGACTATTACAGTACTTTATGTAACTATGTTTGGGGTTTGAAGTGAGGAAGTGGCAGTGGTCATGAGAAGAGGCAAAGGTGGCACTGCCTCAAGTGGTGACCAATTGAATCAGCGTGGAGAACAGCAGAAGTCTTCATGACATCAGGCTCTGAGCCAGATGGTACCATTTATCAGGACAGTACACAGGAAGAGAATGTGAACAGGAAGATGATGAGTTTGATCTGAGGTGACTGGAGGACTCTAGCTGCTGCCCTCTAGCAGGAAAATTCAGAAAACGCTGAGCTCTGGATAGACTTTGGGTCAGCATGTACTGGGCATGCTCTCAGCATGATGGTGTGCTCTCAAAGGGTCAAGAAGTATACACACACTACAGTGAGGGTCGAGGAGAGTATACACACTACAGTGAGGGTTGAGGAGTGTGCACATACCACAGTGAGAAAAGTAGAAGGAAGGCAGGCCACTGCCTCAGAGCAGAGGAAGGGGACCTGGTAAAGCAGACGGTGACCAGGGACAGGAGGGGCTACTTTAGGAGCAAAGAGTCATTGATTTGAGATGAGAGAAGTTAACAATGTCAAAAGCCACAAGAAGACGAGGTGATGTCCCTTTAGATTTGACAATTAAAGGTTACTGTGACCATGAATGAGTTTACCAATGGGGAAGAGGCAACAGTCTCATAGCAGCAGGCTGAAGGAAGGACAGAATAAAGGACTGGCAAAAAGATGCTGATGGCAGAATTACCTCATGACTTCCTAAACCAGTCCACAGGAACAGTGTTCACTTGAGAGCAGGAATGAGCACTTTTGTATAGAGTAGAATTTTCTCAAATTGGAAAGCCTTTCCAGAAACAGCTTGTCAGTCTGTTTCCATAGACTCAACCTTCTCTAATTCCATGGTACTCCTGGAGACACTGCAAGTCATGGACTAAGGCTTGTCTGCTTTAGGGACTGCATTTCTCATTTGAGGATGTGCCATAGGTAGCATACTAAACACGGCCATGCTGACCTGGTAGTTTACTGAGGAAGGGTGAATATGGACATATCCGTCATTCTTGGTAACGAACTTCAGCTCAGCTGACTTTGGCTGCAGTCTGACAACTCCAGAACTGGTCTTCTGGAACTTTCCTTCTGGGGTCTTGACCTAGATAACAAGTATTTATGAAAATAGACAAACATATTTTCATTGCAGGACTTGTACTTTGGCACAAACAAGAATTGCTTGAATAGTTTGCTTCTTTTTATGTTTCATTTTTCTCTCAAGGCAGGGTCTCAATGTACAGCCCAGGTTATCCTGGAACTTACTCTGTAGCCTTAGTTAGCCTCAAACCTGTGATTCTCCTGTTTCATCTTCCCAGTGCTGTGATATATATTTATAGTATTTGACTGTGTATAAGATTGTGTGTGTGTGTGTGTGTGTGTGCGTGTAGGCATGCACACCATGTGGAGGTCAGAGAACAGCTTGCATCTTGCATGAACCGGTTCTCTTTTCCCACCATGTAGGCCCCAGGGATCAAACTCAGGTAGGAGGCTTCCAGGCAGCCACTTTTATCCACTGAGCCATCTCCCTGTCCCAGGGCTGTTGTATCACTTGCTTCTTCTTCTTCTTTTTTTTTTTTGGTTTTTCGAGACAGGGTTTCTCTGTGTAGCCCTGGCTGTCCTGGAACTCACTCTGTAGACCAGGCTGGCCTCGAACTCAGAAATCCACCTGCCTCTGCCTCTCAAGTGCTGGGATTAAAGGCGTGCGCCACCACTGCCTGGCCACCACCACTTGCTTCTTAAACTTTGTATATTGAACACATTTTTATATTTGTTCAAGATTTTCCTAAAGCATTATTATATAGTACCTTATTGTAAGTGTCTATAACTTCATATTGATTGATTGATTGATTGAGCATGTCTTAAGTGCCAATGTGATGTCGGACTTGTGTAGCTGAGGCAGCCTTTGAACTTCCGGTCCTTTTCCCTCCGTCTCTCCTGTTCAGTGATTACAGGTGTGCACCACCACAGCTGGTACACGCTACTGCAAATTTAGATTTGCTGGGTTAAAATTAGATCTGAGTGACTATCTTCCTGGCTATAACTTTGTGCATATTTTTGCAAATTTTCTCTAACAACTCTAGAAATGGAGCATAGTTAGGACAGATATTTAAATTTTATTCTCACCCAGAGTGGTTATTTAAGGACTCACACAGCGTCAGTATTAATTATTAGATGTTCTTTTTGCCAATTTTAAGAGTAAACAAGTCTATTTCCTTGTGTAAATCTGCATTTCTTTGTACTACTAAACTTAGGCAGTCTGTGTGTGTGCACTGTAGGCTCATTTACAACCTTGTCTCATACAATATCTGGGATTGGGAGAATGAATGAATTGGGAATCCTTGTGCTGTGTGTGTATCTACTGAAGATGACTAATGAGCAAACTTAGTTTATTCTTTTGTTACTAATAAAACAAAAAACAGGAGGATTCAGAAAAAGTGTCCTGTTACCTGCACTACATTTGGATACAGAGCAGCACACAGCACTGCTGATATCAGCTTGGGGTTCTCAGCATTTGTGTTAGCCTGTGAGAGAAACATAGCATTACCATATGAGGTGTCACACGTTTGCCGTCATATGTCTTTCTTTCTTTTTTTTTTTTTTTTTTTGAGACAGTTTCACTTTAGTCCTGCCTGGCCTGAAACTCATTATCTAGACCACACTGGCCTCGAACTCACAGAGATCCAGCTGTTTCTGTCTCCCAAATGCTGGAATTAAAAGTACACTGCTGTCTTAGTTTGGGTTTTACTGCTGTGAACAGACACCATGACCAAGGCAACTCTTTAAGGACAACATTTAACTGGGGCTGGCTTACAGAGTCAGAGGTTCAGTCCATTATCATCAAGGTGGGAGCATGGCAGCATCTAGTCTT